GGGGCCGGCTCTGGCGCATGCGTAGGCGCCGGGCGAGCGGATCGCTGGGCGGGGCCGACCAGGAGCCCAGCCAATGGGCGCGGCACTGGGGGGCGGAGACAGAGGCTGCCTGCAGCGCCGCTGGCCCGAGCTGCACGCTCCCAGTCCTTTAGGACCCCGGGGCTGGCGGTGTGGGCCCCTCTGACCAGGCCCAGTCTGAGAGCTGCTGTTAGGAGTCTGGCTTTCTGGCTGTAGTCTGCACGTCGGCTTCTCCTGAGGGGCATCGGTCTTCCCGTAAGGAACCAGGAAGCGGGACCCAAGCACAGTATAGAGAGCCTCACAACTTGAAATGCAGACTTTTTCAGTCGCAAAGAGGGAGCAGCTCCACACCCGCACTTGAGGGAACAGGACACTGAGGGGTCGAGAGGTTGGATGACTTTAGTCCCACATTTCTCTCGGCTCCATTCAGTGATCCCTGTTCCTCCCCAGCGGGGCTAGGCACCTGCTCAAGTTGGGTCCTTCTTTACTTTCACCTGGACCTGGACATGAGTCTGCCCATCAGAAGCGTAGCCCCAATTCTGTTATTCAAGTGTGGAATATAGTGGGGAGGGGGCAGAAAGACACTCAGAGAGTCCCCGTTCCTTTTCTTATAATTACTCTACTTCAGCCTGGGAAGCACCCAGTACCCAGTCACTCCAGGGCACTTGCTGCCTTCCGCATCAGGGAATGACTGTGAGGGAGGGGAGGTGTGATGGGCTGTGGACAGGCCTGGCTAGAGGGCTGTGGCAGCACTCGAATAGATAGGGGCAGTGTAAGAAGCCTGTGAGTTGGCGAGTGGAGAGGGTCCCAGATGTAGGACTTGCATAAGTGGAAAGGGTTTCACAGCAAGCAGGCTGGATGTGTGTGCAGGGAGGTGCCTTGGATGAAGAATAGGACTGGGGAGAGAGTTAGAACCCAGAAGTATAGGTATAGGTATCCCTAAACTGTGTGCAAACGCCATTCTATGCAAGGCATAGGTCAGTAGGGGATGGGGGTGGGGAATCTAGACGTGTAGAAGTGGTGGGCATGCCCTGGGTACCTTAGTTTGGTTGGAGAGACAAAAGACTAGCCCATAAATTGGTGCTGACTGGGTAGCATGGGGTCAGGCTATTCTGTCCTATCCATGTGATAGTTGATATAAGCTGTAGAGAAGGAGGTAGTGTGCAAAGAGAGAACCTCTCTTTTCCTAATGGGCTTTAGGGAAGGCTTCATGTTGATGGTGGAGCTTCACATGGCTTGGAAGCAAGGAATTACTGACCTGGGGGTGAGGCAAGGGTGGTGTGGTGGTGGTGAACTGTGAAAAATTAAGGAGGCTGGAAAGTTCAATGTATGTTCAGGGAAGGATGAGAAATTCATCTGGACAATAGGGATCCACTAAAGGCTTCTGATCTATAAAGTGAGGCATGCAAGATGGAACTTTGGAAGGCCCACCAGGTCTGGGTGTATATGATGGGGTAGAGGTGATGAGGCCACATTTTAGGCCCTTTGATGAGAGGAAGCAGAAATGAAAAAGAAAGGAGAGGTGGCCTTATACAACCTTATGTTATGGGGACCACAGAGCCAAGCTTCTGAGAATGCCTGGCTGGGTACCCCGTTCTCACAACTAAGGAACTCAGACTGCTGGGCCCCCTGAGTGGCAGGTTGGATGTGAAGGAAGTCGGGCTCTTTTAAGAGTAAAACACGGCACCCAGCCAGTGTGGCTCAGTTGGTTGGGGTGTCATCCCATGCACTGAAGGATTGCAGGTTTGATTCCCAGTCAGGGCACTTACCCATGTTGTGGGTTTGATCCCTGGTCAGGGCGTGTATGGGAGGCAACTGATCAATGCTTCTAACATCAATGTTTCACTCTCTCTCTCCCTTTCTCAAATTAAAATAATAATAATAATAATAATAATAATAATAATAAAGACTAAAATATGGCCTTTAGGAGGCTGTTTATTAGGAAAAAAAGACTCTGGTTCAGGCTTCATCTCAGGTCAGCAGGGCAACCCACTCAGGCTCCCCATTCTTGTGTCTTGTTTCTTCTGCTTGTTCAGTGATGTGGACCAGGGGGTGACCCACAGGACCCTGGGGGTAGCTTCCCTCCAGGGCAGTGCCTAGGGCCAGGGTCATGGCAATGCTCACTACCATGGCAGTGCTCCTGTGGAAAGCCAAATTAACAATGTTAGAGTCAGAGGTCGGTGCCAATTTCACCCCAAATTGACTCCCTCCTTCTCCCTACTCCATACTGTAGAGGAATCAAGATTCCTGGACACTAGCAGGGGATCATAGTGGAGGGTTGGAAGGCAGGGACAGCAGTGACAGCTCTTAGCTCTGGGCCTTTTGCTTTGATGAAACCAGAGCACTGAGCAGACAAAAGGGAGGAAGCTAGATTCATTGGTCTCCATTCTTTGAGCTGAGATATGACTCCCACTCCCTGGACCTCAGTTTATTTTATCTGTATCAAAGAAGCAGAATTATCTCAATCTCATCTTCTTCCTTCCATCACCCAGGAACCCTTGTAGAGTGACTAGAGGTTTTGCCATGTTAGGAACCGCAAGCTGACTGTACTTAGAAGTGAGGGTGGGGATGTGGGGGCTACAGAGAAGCTCACTGTGGGCCAGAGGCAAGGAGGAGACAGGAGGCAAGGTCGGGGCGGG